ATTATTATTATTATTATTATTATTATTATTATTATTATTATTATTATTATTATTATTATTATTATTATTATTTTGCAAATATATTCCTTTTATTCTCGAACAGTAGCAGTAACTGGGTATCTCAGTACAGGCCGGATCAGTCAAATAAACGCCTGAGGCCTATGGTAGAAGAGAGGGCCTCTGGCAGCAGGCCTCCAGACAAGAGAAAACAAAACCGGAGGGGGGGGGCTGCAACTTCGCCCCGAAACGGACTGCGGGAGGCCAACTAAGATAAAAGAGCGAGCCAGGTAGAAAGAAATGGGCAGCAAAGCTTTGACCCAAGGCCTGGGGCTCTAATTCACCGCAGCTAGAACCAGAAAAAAAGGCGCCCGACCACGAGGCGGAGCCAAAATGGCGACCGCAAGCTGAACCGTCGGGGACGCCTTCGGGACGGAAAAGGAGGGCTTTGCCGGTCAGCTCGGCACGCCTAGGGCCTTAGGGGCAATAACCCTCCCGGTCGGCGTTTGGGGTGGGGGGGAATCCAGCAGTAAAATGAAAGGAAAAACAACGCGTGCCACAAGGCAACACGGAGGCAGCGATGCGATCTGATAAGGATGGGGGGGGAAGCGCTAAACGCGCTGCGAGCCCGCAGCTTCGTCTCAGGGACGAGGGAAAATTTTCCCTTAAGTCCAGACCCTTTGCGCAGGAGGAGAAAGAAGGCAAACCTTATCAGAAAGAGAAATAGGAAGGAATCTGCGATCAGCCAAGGAGCTCTCTAACACACAGCCTGACTCTTCGAGGCTGAGCAAAAGACTGGGGAGGCGCTCCGCGATGTCACGTGAGGGGGCGGAGCGTTTCCTCATCTAAAGCTCAGCCTGCAAGAAGAGGACTCGGAAGCATATCCCAGTCTCTGGATGCTCCGAGCGGCTCGAAGGAGAAGCACTGTGCTTTGGTATGAGCCTTAAGTGCTATTGCTATGGGGCAGTGCTTCTCAAGCGTGGTTCTTACATGCTGGCTGGGGAATTCTTAGGAATTGAAGTCCACATAGCTTAAAGGTGCTGAGGTTGAAAAACATTCCTTAGAGCTATACTTGATAGTGTATGTCCTAAAATAGGTGTATATACTTTTTTTAAAAAGCCCCTCTTAAAAATGAAAAAGAAAAATCTTACCAGAATATTGGCTATTAGTATTTATATTCTCATCCTGGCCCCTTAAATGTTACATGTGGGTGTCAGACATGAAAAAGTTACTTATACAATATAAAGCAGGAAATAGGCATCATTTTGAACCATACAGCTCTTGGCCGTCCTTTTTGTAGTTCCTATGTTTATATAATGCACAATGCCCCGATGTCTACACTCTGAAAAATACACACGCACACACATATGTCTTAAACATAAGCATAAACATAAATATTTCTCTGCTCACAATGCTGTTCCAATAATACATATGAATGAAAACTGCTCCTTAGGCATTGTGTGGTATAATTTTTCTCTCTTCTTGTTCTCCCCAATTCATTTTTTCTGTGTGTTCTGTAGTTATGCCACGTTTTACTGAACAAGTAGAAGCTGCGGTAGAAGCATTAAGTTCTGACCCTGCTCAACCAATGGATGAAAATGAATTTATTGATGCTTCACGACTAGTATATGATGGAATCCGTGACATCCGAAAAGCAGTACTGATGATCAGAGTGAGTGAACTTCAGCTTCCTTGAAATAGCATTCGCTTTTCGAAATAAGTTTTATTAATAATTTAAGACATATATTAAATTCTGTGCAAATTCATGCACACATCCAATGCATATCATAGCTTAATAACTCCAGTAACTACTGTATCTGCAGCTAAATATTTTAAGTTTTGAACAATTGCACTCTGTATTTCACCCATTACCTATATATTGCTGTGCAGTTCTTTATACACTGTGTGATCACTTTCCA